ACGAGGCCCACCAGCTGAGCCACGAGGGCCACCAGCTCAGCTACGAGAGCCACGAGCAGAGCTTCGCGAGCCATCGGCAGAGCCACGAGGTCCACCTGGAAAGCAACGAGGGCCACAACCCGAGCTTCCAGGGCAACGGGCAGAGCCACTGCAGCCACCAGCAGAGCTACCACGCTCACGAGCGGCCCTTCGAGGACCGCAGGAACAGCTTCGAGAGCCATCAGAAAGGCTTCAAGAACCACCTGCCGAGCTACGAGAGCCACCAGAAGAGCCAGTGGAGCCACTAGCTGAGCCACGCGGTCCGCAAGCTGGGTTACGGAGGCCACAAGCAGGACTACGAGGAACCAGCCGAGCTACCAGAGGCACCAGCCGGGTTGCGAGGACAACGACAAAGATATTACGGCCACCGGCAGAGCCTGCGGCGCGTCGTACCGGCCCTCCTCGTCGACCACCCGCACGTCCTGCGCGCCTTGGCCGCGCGAAGGCTTTGAACTGCAAGAATTGGCCGAATCCTGCGGTAGCCCTGCCTTCTGCAAGTCCTCCGCGTCGCGCGGGTGACCTTCTAGGCCCGAGAGCTCAATTGCGCGGACCGCAAACGCAGCGATTACAGTCACCAGGCGACCTACCAGGGCCCTCAGCAGACTTTCGAGGACCACAAACTGAGCTACGATATCCAGAGGCACAGCTACAAAACGCACCAGCACCAGCACAGCCACAATGCCTGTGAGCTGCGCTACGCGGACCACATGCTGAGCCACGAGGGCCACAAGCGGCCACCGCTGAGCAGCAAGGGCGACGAGCTCAGCAGCGAAAGCTGCGAGCGGAGCTACGAGCGCCACCAGATGAATTACAAGAGCCACGGGCAGAGCGCCGAAAGCTTCCAGCACGGCTACGAGGACCACCTGTTGAGCTTCGAGGGCCGCAAACTGAGCTACGAGGGCCGCGAGCAATGCTCCGAGAGCCGCCAGCTGCGCTACGCGCGCTACCAGCGGAGCTACGAGGGCCAGAGGTTGAGCTATCAGATTCACCGGCGGAGCTACCAGGGCCACAGGGTGCCTGACGAGAATCTCCAGCAGAGCTATTGGGGCCACCACCTGACCAACGAGGGTCACAAGCTGGGCTACAAGGGCCACGCGCAGAGTTACGGGGACCTCCGGCTGAGCCACGGGGATCTCCTGCTGAGTTCGAGTGGGCAGTCCACAACTGGATCTGCAGTCCGAGCCACAGGCCCCGGTTCAAGAACAACGGTTTGCAGAGGGAGCACACAGAAACACATCTCCCGCCTCGAGTGGAGCGGCAGCGGCAAAACGTGAAGAGTAAAATAAGCACCGGTTTGTTCCAGAAAATCAGCGAAGTGATTTGGGGCATGAAGCCCAGCAACGACGAGACGGAAGGGCAACGCCACAGCTGGGGACCCGAGGAAACCAAGCGGCCGATCAACATAGGTGACACTGTCGAGGCGAAGTCCTGCAATATGTACGCCGGCTGCGTAGCGATACGGATCGACGTCCTGCAATTGATTGCCCGGCGGAAGGAAGACGGCCAGCCAACGGTTGGCAACGCGAAGTAGAGTTTAGTGGAATTCGAAGAAGCGAAAACACTTGTACAACACGTTGCCGGCATACCGTCACGACTGGCACAGCGATACGGAAAACGGGTATTCCAAGTATTGCGCTACTGACAACTACATCAGGCGCGCTGTAGGCACGGTGGGCGGGCCTCTCCTTCCCCCTCCATCCCCTTTCCCTGGATCGAGCCGCGGGTTGCAGGGCGGACGTGTTGCAATTCCCCCGCCCTCCTCCCCCCTTAAACAGAACAGGGTCCCCCTGTGGTCATGGGGACCGCCGCGCCTTCCGACCGCGGCGCGCCCCCCCCGCGCAAAGCAGGGCGGCGGCGCGGACAGGAGACGGCGCTCTTGCCGCTGTGGAACAACAGAAGAAGAGGAGCGTTTTTGGAGCGTTTGGGGGGCCGTCTTGGGGCCGTTGGAGGGCCGTTTGGGGGGGCCTCTTGGGACACTCTTGGGCGAGGCGATCGATCAAAGGAGGTGGGGGTCCCAATGTTAGCCCCTCTTGGGACCATCCAAATCACATCTTGGGGCCTTTTTGGGGCGTTCTTGGGCGTTGTTGGGGGCGACTGGGACGCCTCTTGGGCCCCTCGTGGGCCTCTGTTGGGCCATGTGGGCCGTTTTTAAAGGCTTCAAAAACGCATTGTAAACCACAAGGCAAAAAGTAAAACATCAATGGCTTCTTCGGGTGTTTGAATGATGTTGGCTTTTTGCGGATGTCCTGGGGCGGCTCCGAGGGCGTTCGGATCCCGCCACGTGGCCCCCGTCCCGCCTTTTTGGGGGTATGCCCGAAGGTAGATTTCTCCATCGCAGGTTCTGGTGAGCCGTTTTGGAGGCAATCTTGCAGTGTCGGACGCCCTCTTGGAGCCATTTTGGGCCGTCTTGGGCGCCCTCACCGAGCGCGGCCCGCCAAAAGAAATCAGGGAGGGGAGGGGTAGGGTACCCCTCCCCGAAGGCAAGGCTTGGAAGAAGAAATAATACATTCGCTAGACCACCTTCATTCGCCCAACGGGCTGGTGGCATTAAAGCACAGGCTAGAAGCGAAGCCCATGCCCCAGGGCGGATTGGGATTCGCTTGTAGAGGCGCCGCAAATTATCCGTGCCGTTGGTTCCTTCTCCCGCGCCAACCACAGGGTTCCCGCAGCGCCCCCACTCACAGAGTTATCGCTGGGAGCTTTCAGCTGTCGCCAAGGAAGTGCAATACAGTTGATTAGTGTTTCGCGTTGCCTCGCAGACCTTGCGAGGAAGATGCGTGCTTCAGTTTGCACGTTCGTGTGCGCGTTGCTTTGGGGATTGCCTGCTCAAGCATTGCCATACCGACGCGGGGGGAGGGGGTCGAGGAAGAGGAATCATAAGTGAGGGACCAGCACCGGCAGGAAGCACAGAAGGAGGGTGGGCGCAGGAGGGGTGGGGAGCGACAATGCGCGTGCAAGGTGGCGACGGGGCGGACGGGGGGCAGCATGATCGGGGGCAGGAATCTCACCAGCGTCAATCGCGGCGTCATCTGCAACAGCAGGAATATGCTACGCATGGGGGGTCAGAACGACGGTGAAGAAACCAGAGGCGACGAGAACGGGGGCGAAGAGAACCGAGAACAGGCGCATCTGCGGAATGGTGCCCCATCCCCCGCTGACAACGCACCATCATTGCCAATGTATCGTATCAGTCTTGGTGTAAAATCCAGCTGCCTGCGGCAAGTCCTGCCACCGTGCCAGCCCAAGGGAGGCCGTCACGCGTGACACGTTTGCCCCCAGGCTCGGAAGAGCCGTGATGATGCTGATGATGATGATGTTGATCATCATCATGATCATCATGATGATGACGCTGGTGTTGATGCTGATGCCGATGGTGTGGTGCTGCTGGTGGTGATGGTGATCGCGTGATGGTGATGGTGATGGTGATGGTGATGGTGATGGTGATGGTGATGGTGATGGTGATGGTGGTGGTGGTGGTGGTGGTGGTGATGGTGGTGGTGATGGTGATGGTGATGGTGATGGGTGGTTGTGATGGTGGTAATGGGGAGAAGGATGACTAAGATGATGAGGAGGAGGAACATGCGGATGGCAGGAGCAGGAGGAGCAGCAGTATGAAGAGGAAGACGAAGGCCGTCACGTGTGACATCTTTCGCCTTCACTAGTTGGGAAGCCGTTATGGAATTCGTTGGGTGGTTTTGTGGTTGCCTGGGCCTCTTGTGAGGCGGTCTTGGGGACCCCTGGGGCCCTCTTCGGCCATGTGAGGGCCCTTTGGGCAGTCTTGGGCGTCGCTTGGAGCCCTCTTGGGCCGTTTCGGATGCATCTTAGCTTCGTGAGCACTCTTGCATGTGACCAGGGAGTGTGGCTTCGGGAGTGCGAATCTGTAGCATGTTGCAAGGGATCATGGCCTCGGGAGAGGGGGGCGATGCATGCAACGAAGTGCAGCTAGAGGGGGGGGCTTTAGAAGATAACATAAGCCCTATAGGCATCACTTGGCACTCTAGCACGCCTCAGCTTGCCAGGGCGGACGTTGGCATTGCTTCAGCAGTTCGCGCCTTGGCCTAACAATCGAGAGAGCTCCTCCACTGTACTTGAGATGAATAGGACTCATCTCCCAGAATGTACCTGAAGTAGTTCCAGCCTTGGTAGTAATTACAGTACATGAGTGCAGGCGTGTAGCGTGCGAATGTGCTTTCACGTGTGCGTGGGGAGTTGGTTGCATGCGCGCGTGTATGCATGTGTATGTGTGGCGTGTGTGTTGCGTTCGGCCTCCTGCCACATCTAAGCATGCCGCATGCATACTGATCTGAAGCATTTCCCCCCTGCGAATGCCCATTGCACCCTTGCATGGTGGATTCAGTACTTTTAGGTGTCTGCTATGTGAGTTGCGACTCTCTCCCGACTCTAAGCACGGTTTGCATTGATGGTCAGCAGAGCCCACGACGGTGAGCATCGAATGGAGAAGAATGAGGAGGAGTTGGAGGATGAGGATGAGGATGACGAAGAGGTGGTTGCGTAGACAGGTCATACAGGCCAACCATGTTGTGGATCGTAGTCGTGAATATGGTGATGCTGGTGGTTGCGATAGTGGTGTTCTCAGTTATTCAAACAATAATCGTAGCGACTTGGGCTCAAGCATAGGCTTGCATCGCGGTGTGTTTTTGTGGCGGACTCTGTGTTGATGGAGTCTCTTCGGAATTTCACACGAGATGAAATGCACAGACACGCTGACGATTGTGAGTTCCACTTTGCAAGGTGTGGTTGCTGTGCTATCCCCAGGACGTTGACAGTGGGCGTTTGCGAACGACTGGCTGCACTAGTAGACTCTGTATTGTTCCATGCTCTGCGTGAGATACAAGTGACGACGGAAGAATCGGCTCGAGACGTCTTGACTCAAATGCATTTCGGCAGGGTGCGTTGCAGAGAGCGCCGATGGGATTTCAAGATGCCTCTCACCCCTGAAGTTCGCGAAGCTGTCGAGGCCATTGTTGCTGCCACTCGGGGCGTCCTAGAGAGCCGCGTATCTCGGCAGGGCCGCCTGGTTGAGCTGGCCTGCCTCATCAGCGACCCCGGCGCACAGCAGCAGGCATTGCATCCCGACACTCCGTGCTGCACGACTCGCGCGCTCCAGGATGGTCCGAGCAACGCCTGCTCACCGCTGCTCACTGTCTGGGTCGCACTCCAGACGATCTCGTCGAAAATGGGACCCCTCGTCCTGTGTCCGCAGACGCACACGCCAGAGGCGCACGATGCTCTAGAGCAGATGCCCGAGGAGAGGCGCGCCTCAGAGTTTGCTGTCAAGCAGCATGGTGGGCTCGCGGCCGTCTGCGACGTGGGCACAGCCATTCTTATGGATTCTCGGCTTCTGCATTGTGGAGGCGCAAATGCTGCCGTTGACGAAGGCGGCTTGCGCCGGCGATTGTTTTATACTACTTGGCAGTTGCCTCAATGTTGTGATTCTTCAGGTGATGAAATGGAGGAAGAAGAGCCAGCATGGTCAATCAGAGCAGAGTTGCGAGGCCGCTTATGTCTCGCCGACTTCATCGGTGATGCGGCTTGCAGGTCTCAGAGCCCAAGTGAAAACATTAAATTCCAGCTGGGCAAGGGGCATGCACCAGCAGGCTGGGTCCTGGGCCGGACCGTCTTTGTCTGAAGTGCTATCGGCTTGGGGGGGGGCAGGGGCTTGGGTTTGGACCCGAATCCAAGATCACGGACCTGGGGCTTGGAGTCGGGCCCAGCCAATTGTTGGATAAACAGGAGGCAGCTTTTTCGGTACAGCGCCGGTTTTAATACATGCTCCGCGTGCGGATCATGTATTAAAAATGCAGGGATTTAGTATTACAAACAACGATGAGTTCGTGCATTAATTTATTCATAAATGAATCATGTATTAAAATCCAATATGTTTAGAAATCCTGTGTATTACAAACTGCCCTGTAGATCCCAGCAAGGTTATTCTTGCATGGAGCGGTGGGGGCGTGGCGAGACCCGAGAGGAAGCCTTGATTGCACGCAGGTCGGGACCTCACAGTGGCTCTTGGGAGGCTCGCGAGGGGCTGTTGGGTCCTAAGAGGCTGCACGCAGTTCGGGTCCTGAGAGGCTCATGAGAAGCTCCTGGGATTCTGGTGAGAAGTCCTGAGAGGCTCACGAGGAGCTCCTGGGATTCTGAGGAGAGGCTCCTGGGATTCTGATGAGAAGCTCCTGGGATTCTGATGAGAAGCTCCTGGGATTATGATGAGAAGTCCTAAGAGGCTCATGAGGAGCTCCTGGGATTCTGAGGAGAAGCTCTTGAGAGGTCGTTGACAGGCTCTTGAGCGGGTCTTCTTGCGAAGGGTACTGCGAAGCTCCCGACATGCCCAGCGCTGTCTAAAAAAACTCTGCGGAGAAAGGAGCATGCCATGCAAATAAAGTTGCCTGGGTCTAGACGAAAACAGCTTCGCAACATTGTGGACCTCTTTGGCAATAGTCAACTGTATGTGACGAAGTGCCACTTAGTTTCGAATAGCGAGTTTATTGGGCAGTGTCAAGTTTTTGAACATAGTAATGACAGTTGCCGAAACCGATGCGTGTTCACTTCCGAAACAAATTATGCTGGGATATACTCATATTCGTTCGTATACCTACTTAGAGTATCCTGGGCTACTTGTTGCTATGGATTCGCTCTCGTCTCCTCGCGTGCCATTCGAGATGTATATCCCAAACCCTCGATACCCGCATACCCTCGTCGTGTGCCCTCTTCGTCCTCGATCGTACCACCTCTGGGGTATATCTTCCTGACCTGCCACGAGTATTTGACGCAGCTACGGGTACAGGAAGGTACGAGGAGGAAAGGAGTGCGGTACGAGAGGGATGAGGGAAGGGACAAAAGGGAGTGAAATTGATGGTGCACGGGAGAGATTCTTAGGAGGGGGGGTTAGGAGCAGGACCGCAAGCGGCAAAACAATCGGGCGTGTCGGGCGGGCGGACCCTAACGGGCGGGCGGGCCCAGACGGCTGGGTCGCCCTCTGAGTCCCCCCCCATCACCACCCGCCCGATCAGCCAGGCCTTGCCCCCCCCCCCGCCTCCCGCGCGAGGCCACAGCGGGGACATCATCGGCTGGAAAGACCGCGCGGCCAAGGCGGGACCCCCAGCCCGCCGGCCCGCCGCCGAAGGCTGGGTTCAGGGGCCTGGCATCGCTCAGACGTGTGCATTGTTTCTCGGCGAGGGCGATCGAGGAGCATCCTGGATCATTTGGCGAAAAAACCACGCACGAAACCGAAAAAAACACAGAGAATGGACGTCCGAGCGATGCCAGGGGGGCGACGTTAGCAGGGGGATGGGTTCGGGGGGGGGGGAGCACGACGGCCGGTGTTTGCTGCTCTCGGCCTCTTGTGGCCATTGCTGGGTCCCGAGGGGAGAGGTGCAGCGACAGATGCTCTGTATTCAAGGGCATTAAAAACGCCCCTACCCTGGTTTACGAGGCGCTGTGCGCTGAAACTCCTGTGGGCTGACAAGGTAAACCCTGCGTGATGTGCCGCGTCCTGGCGGCTCCAGGCTTTGGAGGTTCCCGGGAGGTTTACAGACCACGCACTTGTGACCCAGGGTAGGGTCGTTTTTTCATCCCTCAATATATCGTGTTCGAGAAATATGGGAGGAGGGAGGAAGAAAGGCAGCGGGAGAGGTACAGGAAAGAAGCGGCAAATCGGTGGAGCGTGCAAGGGGCAGCACACTCGCGCCACATCTGGCATCGTACCCTTTTTCCACCCGTGCCCTCTCGTTTTACCGAGTCGTCTTCCATCCGCCTTGTGGGTGCTTCGAAGATTTTGGCCCACAAGTGTCAGTCGCGGGACTCGACCAGTCGAGTCGTTTGCTGTGCAATCGGCGAAGGGGCCTTTTGTAGATTAGGGCAGGGCGCAGAGCAACGGCAGCGTCCACCCATGGACCTGAATGCCAGTACAGTCAGCGAGGATTGGGAGCAGGGGAGGAGGGAAAATTGAGGAAAGGAAGGAGGGGATGGCAACGACGAGGAAGGACTCGAACCCGTAATTGCGCGGTACGCAGGAGGAGCGGAATCAAACCAGCACGCTGTAAGGAACGTTTCGCGTGCCCCCACCAGCCCATCCAGCGACCATTGTCTCGTTCAAGTAACGGAAAGAGCGGGCTACGAGTGATGACGTTGTTGTGTGGGGCGAAGCCCTCTTAGGGAGAGGCTCCAGGGGAGGGGCGAGGGGGGCACGCATATGTCTGATGGCCGCCGGGGGGCCGTTTCCCTCGTATTTTTTCCAGTGAAGCGGCTCCCGGGCGGCTCCCATGGCCCGTTTTCTTATATTGAATCGCTTCGCTCATTCCGCCGGCCCGTGATATGGCATCGCTGGTTTTTGTCTGTGTGTTCGTTGCCCATGTTGCGCTCTTGGGGGCGGGTGTCGTTCGGACGCGTTGCGTGGGGAGTTTTGATGGTGAAGCAGTTCCCTGGGGGTCGTCTCTCGATGGGGCGAAATAGAGTCGTCGTCAAGATGCTTCTTTGGGGGGCCTCTTGGGGTCTGTTGAGAGGCCGTTCGGGGGCGCCTGGGAGACATGTTTGAAGCCTTCTGGGGCTTCTTTTGGGCCTCCTGGGAGTCTCCTGGGGCCTCTTGGCGACATCTTGGGGCCTCTTGGAGGCCTCTTGGGGCCTCTTTGGGACCTCCTGGGCGCCTTCTGGGACGGAGGGCTCCATTTTTGAGTTCTCGGTATCCCTCCTGAGTCCCTCTTGGGCCCGTCTTGGGGCCTCTTGGTCCGTCTTGGGCGGCACTTGGGCCGTCTTGAGGGCTCTCTTGGGTCGTTTCGGCGCCGTCTTGGGAGCTTCGTGGGCCGTCTTGGAGCGGTCTTGGGGGCCTCTTGGGCCGTCTTGGAGCGTCCGGAAGCCGAAAAAGCCAGAACACAAAAAACATAGAAAAAACAAATGAAAATCAACGATTTTGGCCTCTTGGGGCTCTCTTCGGAGGCCTCTTGGAAGGCTCTTGGGGCGTCTTGGAGGCCTCTTGGGCTGTCTTGGGGGCCTTTTGGGCCGTCTTGGGGTCATCTTCGGCGTCTTCGAGCGCTCTTTGGGCGTCTCGGGGGCCTCTTGGGCAGTCTTGGGGGCCTCTTGGGGCACTCTGAGCGCGCTCTGGGGAGCCTGAGAGGCCGCACCCAGAAGGAAAACCATCTCTGAGTAGACTTGGTCGGGCGGCGGTCGGGGTACTTTTCGCCGGGTGACCCCCAGGGGCCGCCCCGCGCGCGCGAACTAGAAATACTGTTAATACTGTTAACCAGTTACCGGAGATCTTAGCACGCCCTGGCCCGTTGGGCCGGCGAATTTTTTCCGAGTGACGCGGCCCAAGGGCCCCAAGACGGCCCAAGAGGCACCGTCCGTAGCCATTCTGGCTCAAGCGCTTCTGGCTGAACCACAAGGTTGGAGGTGCCATCGCGGCCAGTTTGATTTGCGGAATCTCTTGCGGATCTTTCATGGTAATGTTGCGCGTGCCCCTCGTATTCTTCTTCCTGGCTACGGCGTGGGCGCAAGAATTGTCGCAGCAGGAGCTTGACCCGGTGCTCGCGGCGGACGACGAGTGCGCTTCCGACGGCGGCGAATCTTGCGGCGTGGAGTTGCTCCAGGCTCGTGCTTCGAAGGACGTCAAGGCGGAACTGGCGAGCTCCACCGTGGAGGCGAATGAGGAAGGCGGCGGGCAGCTTCTGCAGTACAACGCCACAGCCAACGCCACAGCCAATGCATCGCAGCCGCCGTGCCGCGGCACCAGCGAGGCTTGCTGGATCGACAACGACTGCTGCTCCGCCCGCTGCTCACTAACCCGCCGCTGCGCGGCAGTGCGCTAGGCGTTTTTATTAGTACTTGTTGGCGGTAGAGTTGCAATTCCAGTTCGTGTTCAAGAATATTATCTTAGAAAATAATATGTGTATATATATATATAAAACGCAAAATCGCCCAAGAGGCACCAAGACGACCCAAAGACGGCCCGAAGAGAGCCTCGGATGTTTCCAGACGGTCCAAGAGAGCCTCGAGACGGTTCCAGAGACCCTCCAGACGGCCTTCGAGAGGCTTCAGGAGCCCAAAAACATTGATTTCCTTAGAGTTTTAGCGTTTTTTCGGGTTCTCGCCTTTTCGGGCCCAGACGGGCCCAACACGGCCCATGAGGTCCCAAAGTTCGTCCCAAGACGGCCCCAGAGGCCCCCCAAAGAGACGGACAACAGTCCAAGAGAGCCCCCAGACGGCCCAGGAGGGCCCTAAAACAGCCCCAGAGGGCCCCAAGAGAGCCCCAAGAGGGCCCAAAGGCTCCCAAGAGGGCCCCAAGAGGCCCCCAAGAGAGCCCCAAGACGGTCAAAGGCCTGCAAGACACTCCAAGACTGCCCAAAGGGCCACACGACGGCCCAAAATTGCCCCAAGAGGGCTCCCGACGGGCTCCTAAAGGGCCCCGAGAAGACCCCGACGAGGCCCAAGAGACGCTAAAGAACACCATGGCTCCCATCAGCGAGCGGTGACGTAACAAGCTCTTGACACCAAGGCTCCCCAGAGCGCGGTGACGTGAAAAGCTTGTCACACCAAGGTTTTCAAGAGCGAGCGGCAACGTGAAAGTCTCTGAACACCAGTGCTCCCAACGGAGAGTGGCGACGCAACAAGCTTTTCATACCAAAGCTCCCAAGAGCGAAGGGTGCCATGAGCCATCTTGGGCCAGTTCCTGAGGCGCTCTTTCCGTTTCCGTGCCGGCCCAGGTTTTGGGTGGTCTAATTAATGTTCAGAGGCATTGATTGGTGTCGGTTGTTGCAGTTTTGGCGTTTGGTGTCGAATCCAGCAATGCAGGTGTAGTGTCAGTTGCGCCGATCTGGGTAGCACTTGATCCAATATGATCACTGATCTGTTGCTCTTCTTCGCATATTCTCGCTTCTATGCCTGTCCTTATCTACCTTAGTCCTTGCCTTACTGCGCAGCCCCCTCGGTGTTGTTTACCCACTGCCACCTGTGTGCGAGCTGTGTACGGGGGGCTACACCTGCGGACACACGGGTAGCTCATTCTTCTCCAAATTGGTCTGTTTTGGTGTTTTCCCGTTTGGGATGGGTATGTTTCGTAAGTGGTTTTGTTTGGTTTGATCGATTCCCGTGTATAGCACGGTCTAGTTATTTGATATGTGATGTGGACCGCCGTGACCGAATGTTGACAGAAGAGCGTGGAGAGGAGGGGCGGGCAGAACAGCCACACCATGAGGAAAGCAGCGTGGCACCATTCTTGAGAGGCTCACACCAGCTTCTTGGGGACCTTTCCCAGCCCACTTCTGCAGGGACCTCAAGTGCAGTGCTGGGTGCTTTTCGCCACAGAAGAAGAATTGCGTCAACATCAGTCTTCGGAGGTTCGCACGGAGTTCGTCGGTGCCGGTGCGCCGGCGATGCGGTGCGATCCTCCAACGCAATAGATTCTGGCCCCACTCCGGGGGCCTCCACAAGAGTGCCCCTAGCTACAGCCGCCCCCGTGTTTCACGCCATGTCGGAGCCACGTGGGCCTCGTGGTGCAACACCCGAGAGGAGGACCAGGGGCAACGACCAGGGGGGACGAGCCCAGGGTGGGAGGCGTCGACCCCCCTCCGCCCATGCATCGCCACTCGGGGCCAAGTGTTAGGTCGGGCACGTCCCTCCACAGGGGGAACCATTCCAGAACAGCAGACGAACAGCCTGGTGACCACGTGTCGTGCTCTCTTGGGGCTACGTTTGCTCAGGTGTTGACTATGTTTTACCCTTCATCCAAAATCCGCCTGTAGGAGGACGTGCCCGACCTGGGCTCAGTGCCCCCCCCCATCCCCAGGAGCGCCTGGCTTCGCGACGTCGGTGGCGCCTCGCCGACCTATCGGCGGCGCATCGCCCTGACGTCGAGGCAAGGCGTCCCCCCCTGTGCCGGTCTCCAGACTGTTGACGCCCCGCGCATCCCTCGGCGCGAACGAGATGGGTACGGAAAGAATCGGCACAATGCCCAGCAGCAGCTCCTGTTCATTTTGAACAGGACTCGCTGTCCACGCCGCCGCGGCCTGTGTCCATTCGAGAGAAGGCCGCCTGCCCAACAGCGGCCGCCTGCCCAGGAGCGGCCGCTGTAGACAGAAGGGCGTCCAAAATCCCCACCAGCCCATCCAGAAAGAATGCCCAGGGGAGAGTTGAGGTGATCAGGGGAGTGGGGGAGCATTCAGAGGAACAAAGGGCGGGGGAAGCCGTCGTATACCCCATGAGGGGGAGGATGGAGGAGGCATCGTCGTCGGAGAAGGAGGAGGAGGAGGAGGAGAAGGAGGAGATGGAGTAGAGGACGAGGAGGACGAGAAGGAGGAGAAGGAGGGAGAGTTGGGTACCTCTTGTGGCGCTCTTGGGGCCGTCTTGGGGCTCCCTTGGGCCTCTCCTGGGGCTCCCTTGGGCCATCTTGGAGCCATCTTGAGGCCTCGGATGGCCATCGGAAGCGAGAAAGCAAACTCATTGATGTTCATTAATTTTTGAAGGATTTGGACCTCTAGTTCTCGGAGGCCTCTGGGAGCCGTCTTGGAGCGTTCGTGGGGTTTCCCGGAGCATCGTGAAAGCCATCCTGAGGCATCTTGCGTTATCTTGAGCTATCTTAGAGGTCATCTTGGGTCTTCCGAGGCGCTCTTGCAGCCGTCTTGGGCCATCCTGGACGCTCCAACTACCCGCGACCACCCCCGTCCAGGTCCAGGGGGAGGGGGTAGGGGGAGGGAGCTTGGCCCAAGCCGCAGCATATTCAGCAGTCGTCTTTGGATAGGGCAGCTACTGGGGGCGAATCCGCCATCGCCGCCCGCCGCCGCCGCGCCGCCGCCGCCGCCGCCGCTGTCCGCCGTCGCCGCCGCCACCGCGCCGCCGCCGCCGCCGCCGCCCCCGCTGCCGAATCGCCGCTGCAGCCGCTGCCGCCACCGCTGCCGCCGCCGCCCCCGCCCCCGCTGCCGCCGCCGCAGCCACCGCCGCCGCCGCCACCGCAGCCGCCGCAGCCGCTGTAGTAGTAGCCGCCGCAGCCGCCGCCGCCAAGTGTACTCTGTATTGTTTTTTGTCAGGGATGATGCGGGGAGGCCGCATCGGGTTCGCTGCGCATGCTCCGAATGTGGAGGCAGAGTGTGGTTTGTATCTTTTTTACAAGGGATGGTGGCGGGGGGCCCGCATGGTCTCGGGTTGGCTCCCAGTCGCCTGGGGGAGGGGGTGTATATTAATAGGGAACAATGATAAACCCTTCCCCGAAGGAAATGAAGGGGGTTGGGAGAGGAGCTTCCCTAGACCACATACGCCCAGAGGACTGGTGGAATTTACAGAAGCGTGACTGGGGCGTTGGCGGTTGAGGTGGTGTGCAAAATAAGTTTGAAACATCAGATCAAGACCCCGAAAGTCTTGCTCACCATGTCGTAATCCTGAACAGGCGTGGACCGCCTGCGCGGACCGCCTGCCAAGCCAGCCAACCGCCGTGCAGAGTCCGGAACGGTGGTTTGGCCTGATTGTGTAGTTTGCAACTGCGCAGGTAGGCAGGAAGTAGCATGGCGCCAACATCGCAGAGTGCCCTGGAGAATTTCGTTCCGGATTTCGAATTGAAGTTCATGCGGATTCTGCAGGGCCAGGAATGAAGACTAAACAACCCACGCGAACTTCATTCCGTTTGTCGCTCGCCATGTCGGTGTTCTGCATCGACAGGAATCCACGCAGAAATCCGCTGCAGCCCGTCTGCAAGGTCGGTGCAGTGAGGAGTGACCACCATCGCACCGACCACCAGCTCGCTCACTCCAACACTTACCCTCAAGTCGGGCATGCCCCTCTACAGGAGGAATATTCCAAGATGATCAAAAATAGTCTCGAGACGATGTTTTCGCACTGCTTCTGGCTATGGTGTCTTGTGTTTTGGCTACGTTTTTACTCGCCCTCCACAAGTCCGCCTGCGGGAGGCCACGCCCGACCCAAAGTTCCCCCCCCTTGTTGCCGCTCCCCCCCGCGCCAGGGGATCGGCCGCCGAGGGGTCGTCGCCTGGGGCCCCCCCCCCGACGGGCGGCCTCGCGCCCCCCCCCGCCGCCCCTTCGAGCGGGAGAGCGACCACAGCTACCAGCCTCGAATGTATCCCTATCCCTAAGATTGGCACGCCAATCTTAGGGATTCGCCCTCAAAAAGTAAGGGAGTCCCTGAGATTGGCATCGTGATGAGGAGGTGCCCAGCATAGGGATAGGGATATGTTCCAGGCTGGTAACACAGAGAGGATCTGTCTGTGTCGGGGGTGGACAGGCCTCCTACCCTGACGCGTCGATGAAGGAATTGGCCGTTTTCGGTTCGCGGGAGGGCCTCGCGGCCGTCATTTTGTGCGGGTCCCCAGGCCCGTCGAGCTCGGTCCCAGGCCGTTTTCGCCAAGGGGAGGTTTGCTGAAGGGAGGTCTGTCCACCCCCGATCGTTGCCGTTGATCTACGACCGTTCGACGTGCACGACCCGACGATCTCCTCTTCTCCTCCCCATCCTCCTCCTCCTCCTCCTCCTCCTCCTCCTCCTCCTCCTTCTCCTCCTCCTCCTCCTCCTCCCCATCCTCCCCCCCCTCCTCCTCCTCCTCCTCCTCCTCCTCTTCCTCCTCCTCCTCCTCCTCCTCTTCCTCCTCCTCTTCCACGTCTCGTGCTCGGAGCGCGAGTCCCCTCCGTGGTCGACGCCCTCCTCACCTGCGCGGGCTGCGGGGGGGCGCCCACGGGGGCCCGCGAGGCGCGGCCGGTGCCCCCCGCCCGGCCTCTCCCCCCCCCCCCCGCGGGCCCCCGCGCGAGGTGGCGCCGCCGCAGCCGCGGCGACCTGGGCAGGATCTGCGCCTGGCGGTGGCTGCGCGGGCGGGGGGGGGGGAAAGCACACACTGTGGGTAAAAAAACGCTGTTTTTTTTTTCCCACGTGTGTTTTTCAATCCACTGTATGTTTTTTGTGCGTGTGTGTGTGTGCGTTTTTTACCCACAGTGTGTTTTTTACCCACAGGTACTTCGAGCCCTCGGCTCTGGGGCCATCGCAGCACAGCAGCTACTGTCGATGTCTGGACGGGGGAGGAACCCGGGGCTCGGCTCTCGGCGTCCTGGGTCGTACCCTGGCGGGGCCCGTGCGTGGAGGCCCTTGAGGGCCCGAGAACACCGAAACACTTCCAGGACCCCCCTCCTCCTCCCTGGGGTACTCGGCCACGCGCAGAGGGGGTGGGGGGTGGGGGGGAGGCTTCTTATGAGCGCACCTCGACTGTACCCCCCCCCCCGGAGGTCCGATGTCCCGAGTCGTTTCATGCGGAGTCCCCGGAAGTCCCGACCCGTCCCCAGGGCCGGCGTTGCGTCCTGGGGTATTGGCGTCGCTCGGACGTGTGCATATTTTTCTTGGCGAGGACCATCGAAGAGCATCCTGGATCATCTGGCAGAAAAGCACGCACGAATCCAACAATTGCACGGGGAATGGACGTCCGAGCGATGGCAGGGGGTTGGGTGAGGGCCCAGCCGAGGGCGGTCCAGCATCTCCGTCTTGCCTTCAAGCAGTGGCGAAGCGTCTTGGCTCGCGTACATGCCTACCAGAGAATGCTCTAAGGCCCTTTTGTGGTGTGCACGAAGTGTTCTTAGAATATGTCTGGCTGCGACTGTTTTGTTTGAACGCATCGGGATTATGTTCTAAGAACATTGTTTGTTTATTAGAACATTTCTGGGTTCTAAGAACATGTCGTGATAGGCCTATAGGAATGTCGGGACGGTCGGTCCCTGCTCAATGCATTTTCCAAAGCGTTGGAGGTCCCCGTTCGTACCCCCATCCCATCCCCTTCTCGAGGCTTCCCACATGAGCGATGCAACAAACAAAAAGTTCGATTGCGCCGACATTCGCGCGTAAGTTGCTCGCGTAGGGTCGCGCGTAAGCGCCCTTGTCTCCACTGCGGCGTGCCGCGCTGGCTGCCCGCGTACGCTGCGGCGTAAGGTCGCTGCGTCGCCTCGCGTAAGACCCGCTTTGAATCGTCGCTCACATTGGGTCCGAGTACGGTAGACGGTAGATGGGGTCGGAAGATCTCGCCGCAGCCATACCGCTGGTGCATCCGCGATGCGGGTCGATGTGGAGCCCGATGCATCGCCGATGCGGCGGGATCCTGCGACTCCATCTACTCAGACCCCATTTGGGCGACGGAAGAAAACGGGATCGAATGCATGGACATTGGGCCGCAAGCTTCCCGCGTAAGGTCGCGCGTAAGCGTCCTCTTTTCGGCGCTGTGTGCCACGTTGGCGGGCTGCGGAAGCCGCGGCGTAAGGTCGCTACGGTTGCAGTAGAAAGCTGTGCAACAACAGCCCTGGAACTAGACACAACCAAGTTCCCCATTTCATACCCAAATATTGGCAGGAATTGCGTCAGAGATCATGGGCTCAAGACTTATTTAATCGCTTCGCTCATTCCGCCGGCCCTGGAGCGCTATTTGGGGCCTCTTGGGGCCGTCTTGGGCTTCTTGGGAGCGTCTTGGGGCTCCTTGGCGGCGTATTGGGCTCCCCTGGGGCCTCTTGGGGGGGCTCTTGGGGGCCCCTTGGGGCGGGGGGGGGGGTAGTCGTTGGCAGCCCCCCCCCCTCGGAGGCCACGATCCTCGTGAGGGGTGGCGAAAAATAGCCTCCCCCCTGGGGATCGCCCGGGGGTCAGCCGGGGATCGGCCCGGGTACTTTTCGTCTGGGGTCCCCCAGGGGCCGCCCCGCGCGCGCGAACTAGAAATATTGTTAAGTAGTTACCGGAGATCTTAGCACGCCTCAGGAATTGCGTCCGAGATTATGGGCTCAAGACTTATTCGTCCCCACTTCCACGGGACCGCTTGATCTTAGATATCACGCAGGGCCGGGGGACGGAGGGGGGGTCATACAAAGGAGGGGCTCCTAAACGTTTGCTGCAAAGTGCTTGCCTCTCGACGGTATGTCTTCTCGCGTCAGGCTCAAGTCGGGCCTGTCGCTCTACAGGGGGAATAGTCAAGAACGGTAAAAAGAATTTGTTTACCATGTTTCAACATGTGTTGAATGAATATTGTTCAGTATGCTTGCTGTTTTTCGTCGAAAGTCCGCCCGTAGGGGGACATGCCCGACCCAACGTCAGGCCCGTCGGCTCTCGCCGCCCTCGGGGGAGGCCTCCGCCCGCCTCTGCCTTCCGCGCCCCGCCCCGAGCCCGCGCCGCCCGAGCCGCTCCGTGGAGGGCGGGCGGAGGCGGGAGGCAGCGCAGTCAGGGGCAACGATTGGGGGGGGGACAGGCGTAAAGTCGGGCCTGTCTTTCTACGGGAGGAGTATTCAGAAATAGGCAAAGAATAGTCTGGGCAACGACAGGGGGGGACAGGGGCAACGACAGGGGGGGACAGGCGTTAAGTCGGGCCTGTCTTTCCACAGGAGGAGTATTCAGAAATAGGCAAAGCATAGTCTGGGGACTGAGCATTTGGGGGAGTATGTTTTTGAGTATGTTTCATGTTTCGCCCCAAAGCCCCCTGTAGGGGGACAGGCCCGACCTCAGGATAGGCATAGGGGGGGGGATGCATCGACCCCCAATCGCCCATTGATCGCCGACAGGGGCCCGATAGCCCTGTAACCCGCCCAGGAAGGCGCGGATTCGCTATGGGGGGCCTATCGCCGATCTACCAGCGATGTGTCGCCGATTCCAGGTCGATGCATCCCCCCCTATGCCAGTCCCCCCCGATCGTTGCCCTCACGGAGGGGGAGGTCCGCCACAAAACAAATGCACAGACACCCTCCTATTGTATTGCTCCTAGGCCTCAGGGGAGCCTGGCGGTGTGTATATCATTGCGAGCTGCCCTCCCTCAAGGTGCATGCGAAATAGGTCGGAGGGTGCCTGTGTGTGTGTGTGTATATATATATAATATAAACAAATAGGCCCCCCCCCCCCCGGCGGGGCCGCCCACTCCGCAACCATCGGGGAACGCTTTTTAATACCCCCTCCCCGGGGCCTCCAGGGAGCCTCCAAGGAGCCTCCAGACGACCCAAGAGGCCTCCAAGACGGCCCCAGGAGGCCCCCAGGATGGTCCAAGAGGGCCCCGAGGCGGTCCCAGATCGCTCCAAGACGCCCAAGATGGTCCCAAGACGGCCCAAGGGGCCTCCAAGACGCCCCAAGAGGCCTCCAAGAGGCTCTCCAAGAGGGCCCCAAGAGGCTCGAATCGTTGATTTTCCATTGTGTTTTTCGATGTTTTTGGCTTTCTCTCCTTTTGGGCTCCCTGGCGCTCCAAGACGGCCAAGAGGCACCCAAGATCGCCCCAAGACGGCCCAAGAGGCCACCAAGACGGCCCCAAGACGGCCCAAGAGCGCCCCGGGACCGCTTAAGAGGCCTCGAAGACGGCCCAAGAGAGTCCCAACACGGCTCCAAGAAGGGGCCCAGACGCGGGATCCGAGCGCACTTTACGGGCCCTCGGCCCCAAGAGCATCCCCAGAAACCACTAGAGGCTCCCAAAGGCCCCCAAGAGCCCCCCGGGAGGCCCCCAAGAGCCCCCGAGCAGGCACCGAAACGAGCCCCATGCGATTTCGGACACTTTCATATGCACCCCTTCTTCCTTCCGATCCGTTCCGTTGAGCTGCCTGCATTGAGTAGCATGTGCATTGCATTTCAATTCAACAATAATGATGATGATGACGACGACGATGATAGTGAGGACAACGATGACGACGACGATGATGACGATGGTGCTGACGATGCTGACGATGATGGTGGTGATGATGATGGTTGTGCTGGTGATGGTAATGGTGAACACGACCATGACGATGACTACGATGGTGATGATTGCGATGATGACGATGGTGAGGATCCTGGCTAGAACTTGAGCGCGCGCGAAGCGCGCGCGATGGTTCTAGTATATATATATATATATATATATATATATATATATATATATATTACATGCACACACGAGATATATTCCCATACATATATCTGTATAGGGCCGGGGACGCCAGAAAAAGCGCACCCCCTTTGGCCCTCCCTGGGCCTCCGGGCAACCCTTCAGACGACCCGGGAGAACCTCACGAGAGCCAGAAAACGGCCCCAGACGGGATCCAGGCGTTCCGGCGCGCTCCCGAAACGACCCCAGAGAGCCCCAATACGGTCCACGATGATTCCCAAGAAGCCGTCATACCCCCGAAGATCGCTCCAGAACACCCCAAGAAGGCTCCAAGAGGCAAAAATCATTGATTTTCTTTTGCTTTTGGTGCATTTTGGTGTTCTCCTCTTTTCGGCGTCCCGACACTCCAAGACGGGGGTGTTCTGGGCGTCCGAAACTGCCTGGGAGGCCCCAAATCGCCCCACAACCATCCGAAAGGGCTTCCAGGCAGTCCAAGAGAGCCCCAAAATGGCACAACAGGGGTCCAAGATGGCCTTCCAAGAACCCCATGGCGGCCCAAGATGGCCCCAAGTCACCCTCCGAAGCATTCCAAATCGTGACCCGGTCTTTCAGAGAGACCGCGGTTGGAGGCAGGGTGGCCCGAGGAAGCCCCCAGACGCCCCCAGAACACGACCAGGAGGTTTCCAGAAGGTTTTAAGAAAGCCTAAAAAACTTGTGTGAGGCCCCCAGAGGCTATCCAAGGAGATGCCTCTGCAGAAAGAGCTGAGGAGCATGGGGAGAATGCGCAGGGTATGGCCAGAATGAGGGAAAAGAAGCATGGAGGAAAGATAACGAATAGCATTGCTATAACGGCAATGCCGAAAAAAGCAACAAGAAGTCATCGTTAAATTGTCGGTTTGACCTTCCTGCCATCCCGCCTACATACCAAACGTCAAGGACCAAGGTGCATGGCGCGAAGCGCCACTGCAGTCTTGTATGATTGTACAGACATGTAGATGCGTATATATATATATATACACATATTCGTGGCGCAGGAGGTCGCCGTGAGCGGGTCGGACGAAAGGGGCGATATTGGGCATGGATTCAGACCCCCTCGCGTCGTAAACCAAATCGCGACTGCTGGTTATCTCGACATCAACATGACTACAACCAGCAAGCTGGAACTGTATAACCGCAACATACTCCACCTGAGCAGAATATGTGAGGCCAGCTCGCTAGCATCAGCGACCACTGACACCAGCAAGGCACTGTAGCGATTTAAATCATGATTCAAATCCTCCTCACACCGTGAGGTTTTGAACTCCGTCGGGGTCCACCTTCAGCCTTGAACTGCAGCTGGGGTAGAGCCCGCGAAGCACACGGCGCCCGCCAACAACACTTCTTGTGAGCTGTCATTTGCTGCTCACATCTGCCTCTGAGGTTGGATTGCCCCAGTACCCAGGCCCACGGATCCCCATCGGGGACCCATCGCCGATCTATCCTCCTCCTCCTCTGCCTCCTCCTCATTGTTTCCCCCCTCCCCCCCGGGCCAGTCCCTGTCTGCCGGCGCCCCCTCGGAAGGAGTCCTGCGGAGAACGGCTCTTGTGTTTTTCTTGCGCCTCTGTCCTCACCGGGCCCCCCCCGGGCTCTCGGAACGAGCGGTGCAGGGTCAAAAAAGCCCACGGGCGAAGAAGAAGATGCAGCCGCGACCGGTGGCTTGAAAGACTCGCCCTTGGCCCCCCCCCAAGGCCGACCCCGACCCGCCGGCGGTGCTGAGCTGCGCGAGGCACTCGCATGGCGCCCGTTCTGACTTCCGCGGCGCCGGCTCTCTGAGTTACCAGTCCGCCCGCCATGTCTGCGAGGCCACGGCACCCGCTCCGCCCTCGAGGGGCCGGTCCACCCCCGCGCCCTGTCCACGCCCTGCCCACGCCCTAGGAGCACCCTGCCCGCGCCCTATTCACGCGCTGTCCGCGCCCTGGGAGCACCCCTGTCCATGCCCTAGGAGCACCTGCCCTCGCCCTACGCGCTAAAGGTCTTTAGCTGTTCGGGTCTCCCAGCATTCTCTCTCGGCGAAAGAAAAAATAGGACTGGACCTAAAACCTCCGCCGCCTCCTCATCCTCCTCCTCTTCCTCCGCCTCCTCGACCTCCTCCTCCTCCTCCTTCCTCCCTCCTCTCTCCTCCCTCCTCCCTCCTCCCTCCTCCCTCCTCCCTCCTCCCTCCTCCCTCCTCCTCCTCCTCCTCCTCCTCCTCCTCCTCCTCCTCCCCCTCCTCCCCCTCCCCCTCCTCCTCCTCACCCTGTCCTCGCCGTGGCAGCACCCCACCCACGCCCCACCCACGCCCCACCCACGCCCCGTGCCCCTCCCCTCCCCCGCGGGAGCCGCGCGGCCCGAGGATCTGGGCCCGGCGAGCCCGGCCCGGCTCTCCGCGCCCTCGCCGGGCGGCGAGGCGCAGCAGTGCCTGGGCAGGCGGGGCGGCGCTGCGCCCCTCACCGGCCCGAGTTAGCGGGCGTCCAGCGCGTCGTGGTCGGGGGTTGTCCTCAGGTTGAAGTTGGGCGTGTCCTTCTGCAGTCGGGGGCGGAACAGAGGGGGGTGATGACTAGGGGGGGGTGGATATCATGGCGGGGGCCATGATATCTCCCCAGATTTCGTGGCGCCTCTTCTTGTTTTATTACGTCCCTGGCCCCCCCGCTGGGCCGCGCACATGCCGCCGGTCATGATTTGCACCCCCCCCCCTCTTGGACACCCCCCTCTTGGCCGCTCCCTCTGCAGGGGGAGTGTTCAAAAATAGTCCCAAAAAAAAGAGTCTGCGGATGACTGTCTGGCCATGTTTGAGCATGTTTGGGGCATTGTTAGGGTACTTCTTATTTGTCGTCCAAAACCCGCCTGTAGGGGGACACGCCCGACCTAACCTTAGGTAGCTTCAGGAGGTCTTGAGTTTGACCCCCCCCCCTTTTCACTCGGCGGTGAGTAGGACGCGTCCTAAAACCTCGTCCTCCTCCCCCCCCTCTCCCCCATCCAGTCAGCATTTGATCGCGTAGTTGTCACGTGCGAATGCAGACGGCCACTGTTGGTCACAAGGACTCGGGTAAGGGCAGCGACTAACCGTTTGGAATCGCAACCGAGCAGGTCAGCGGCGTTGGGCGATGGCAGCCATATTTCGGGCGCACGCCTAGCCACGCGAGACAGATCAAAGTTCAGGACAAGGTGTCCATGTGTTTTCGACGATTTGCAAACACATTGATTCACGATGTTTGGCAGCATTCAGTTTTCCCTTCATCATCGTCATGTTCCTTCTCTTCCTTTCCCTCCTCCCTTATTATTCGTTCTTCTCTCCCCTCCCTTCCATTGTCCCTCCTTCGCCGCCTGTTATAATCATTACTGCTGTTACCCTTACTTAATCTACATCGCTCCTCATTGATGTTCTCCCTGCTTTGATCATCCTCCCCCCTCTCCCTTCTCCTCCTCCCCTGATCATTGGATACTGGAATTTTCAAGTCGCGACCGACGAGAACGGTCGCCACTCACTTTGCCTCGAATTCCGGGATCGGTCGCGACCGATCGCTCGCGACCCATCGGTCGCGACCGGTCGCCACCGATTCTGGGATCGGCCTTGGTCGGCCGCGGCCGATCTGGAGTGCCGATCGGTCACTACCGATCGCGACCGAAAACCATCGAAGGAACGAAGCAGCCATACGCCAAAAGCGCGCGGGCAAGGACAGGCAGAGCGACACGCCAAGTGCGTGCAACAAAAAGTTGCGTCAAGCAGCCTGCCAAAGTACAGAGACACGAAATCCAACATAATCTGAGCCTCCCCCGCCCCTCCAATACTCTGAGTCTCCCCCGCTCCTCCGCCGCCCCAGGGCGGGGGAGAGGGCCCCAGCCCAGACACAGCCGCGCGCGCGCGCCCCCGAGGCGCCACTGCGTGGCGGCGCCGGCGCGCGAGCGGGCGCCGTACGGGCTCGACGTGGACACGGGCCCGGGGCCCAGAGCTCAGAGGAGGAAAATAGGGGAGCGACTAATGACATAAACAGAAAAATCCCGGAGGTCCGCGCGGATTTCTCGGATCGGCGCTGGACCCCCCCTGGCGGCGCCTCCAGCGCCGCCCCTGGCGCGCTCCGCGCGCCAGGGAGGGGGGTCCAGCGCCGATCCGAGAAATCCGCGCGGACCTCCGAGTTTTTATGTTTACGCCATTCATCGTTCCCCTAGAAAAGGCACCCATACCTCTCCTCAGAGGCCCTCGTCGCCACCACTAGATGCGCCACGAAGTTCTGGTCAGAACGCATCCCGGGAGAGGTCCGGGGAGTAGCGGCATCGGTACCGCCTGGTTTCCCCAAGGGCCGCGGCCAGCCCAGCTTGCCGTCGAAGGTGCACTGAGAGGAGGGCGGTAGTGGGCCTTCCAGGGGGGGCCCTCGTCGCCACGGTGGGAAACAGCTCGCAGAAGTGGTGCATGTGGACCCCAGGAGGGGTCCAGGAGCCAACGTTGAGCTGCTGTTGTCTCCACTCGCCCTGCTCCGACAGACCTCCATGGCCTCCAGCGTCCCAGGCCTCCCAGGTGGGATCCGAGCAGAGGGAGTCGGAGGATGGCGCAGCATCGCCGATGCATCGGCGGTGCGGTCGAATTCCAAGTTTGTAAACGTTGTGAGCAAGCAGACATTGTCTGAGGGGTCCAAAAACAGTTCGGGATCAACGAGAATGTACCTCGTAGAGATGTCCCCGTGCATCCTTGATCTTGCTGCACCCGTGCATTTGATTTTGTTGCAACGGTACCCGTGCGCGCACCCTTCTTTTATTGGAGAGGATGGGAGAGGCTCTCCACTGGCAGCGTCCCGGGGCCTGGTGAGGGCCCCCATGATTCAGGCGGGCCGCAACGCGGGGGCAATAAACGTGGAGGCCCATGCCAAGAAATACCCTGCTTGCCTCCAGGGTGCCCTGCTTTTTTTTTGATTTCGATGATTTTGTTATGGGAAGCGCGACGTTCCCACACCAGAAATCAATGCACGCCCTGGGCTGTCAGGGTTGGGTTTCTTGTGGAAGGTTTTTTTGTAGACTGTCCTCTACTATACCTTCTGGAAGACCAGTTCACAGAGTGTGCACGGCGGTTCTTGTTGCAGGGGGGATTGTGCGGCCCCCCCCCCCATGGGGTTATGCAAGGCGGTTGTGCGCGGCGTCGCTTGCAAGGATTTTGGCAGTTCTGGCGGGCTCAAGAAAACTAAAGCCTAGATCTTTCAGGCCGAGAGCGGCGAACATCAAACCCGTCTCTTGCCTCTTCAAGATGAGGGGCCAATCGCTCAGGGGTAACCGGCGACAAGGAGGACAACGAGCATGACCGAAAAATAAAAGAAACATCGCCATAGGTTGTCGGAGCTCCATGCGGACGTTGTTGGATCTCCGCTGGAACCCCTTGGCGCCGCCCCTGGCGCCGCCCCTGGCGCGCCCCACGCGCAGGGGAGGGGGTTCAACGCAGAGCCAACAAATCGGCACGGAGCTCCGAAAGTGTACCGTCGGGGCCCTGAAGAAGGAACCCTTTTCGTTGGGGAGGGGCTCGGTGTTCCTTAATTGTTTCGCAGCTTGCCTCAGGTTTTCCTTATGTTCTCGATGGGAAGTCGAAGGTTAACTTATGGAAAAAGGGGCCTCGTTCCTTATTTAGGGTTCCGTAGGTCAGCGCCCCGACTGAATGCTTATGTAGTGTGTTTTCTCGCTTCTCGCGCCACTCTGGGGCCCCATGGGTCCTCTGGTCAATTTGAGGGGTGCTCGAGGAGCATTTGCGCCTCCCTGGGAAGTTTAGGGACGCCTCGGACCAGGGCCGCGTCTTGCAACACCCGAGGTCAGGCAGGCACAGGGGAGAGAGGGATCGTTCCCGAGCGCTCTGAAGAGGAGAGGCAGATATGCCGAAGCCACTGCCCTCCCTCGTCGCCACGGCTGGATTCACCTCGAGAGCGTGGTCAGAGCGCACCCCGGAAGAGGTCCAGGGAGTAGCGGTGTCGGTATCTTTCTTTCGCAGGCCTAGAGGTTGACACCAACACCAATAACAGCGGTGTGCCTCCACCGAGGGAAGAAGATCTCGATCTCGGCGATGGTTGTAATATTCTGGTTGCCGAGGTGACCGAAATATTACCACCAACACCGACATCTAGGATCGTCTCCACCCTGTGGAGGCAGCCACTTGTGTTGGTGTTGATGCCCATTTCCAGGCCTCCAGTTCTTCTCCGCCGTTCTTGTACGCGCACAGAGCCTTCCAGAGCGTTCTGGCCGGCCGCGGCGCCCGATGCAGCTTGCAGGCCCGCCAGCTCTCGGAGATGGCGCCGAGCTTCATCTCGGCCCGGTGGTGTCTTTTCCTTGGCTTTCCGACTTCGAGGAGGGGGAGACCTCCACGCCTCGTCGAGGAGGAGGAGGAGGAGGAGGAGGAGGAGGAGGAGGAGGAGGGGGAAGTGGAGGAGGAGGAGGAGGAGGAAGAGGAGGAGCAGGAGGAGGAGGAGGAGGAGGTCGCGCGTAACAGTGGATTCTTCGCAGGAGTGACCTCTGGCGCGGGCCCTCTCAGAGCCCCCTCTTTCCAAAGCTGGCGCGCACGCTTCTGGACGTGGCCCTCCGTCCTGGAGCCGCTCACCAGGAAGAGGAGGAGGAGGAAGAGAGGAGGAGGAGGAGGAGGAGGAGGAGGAGGAGGAGGAGGTCACCTTCTCACCAGGGGGCCACTCCTGCGTGCAGCCGAGCGCCGTCCGCACCCTCTGCCCCCGAGGCGTCGCGGCGCCGAGGCGACCGGCGTCGCGGAAGCCCTTCGGCACGGACCAGGACGCGCACCTGCTCTTCCTCGCTGCTCTGGTTGCTCCACTTCTCCTCATGCTCTTCCCCCTCTCCTCGACTCCGGCCGCCACTGCCGCGCGAGTGCCAAGCCTGTTCCCTGGGGCCCGGAGCGCGGTCGCAGCCACCAGGGGGGTGTTGCAGACCGCCGGAGGCACAGGGCCTTCTCTTTTGCAACGGACGTGCGCCGGAACACGCTCCGTCTCATTGTGTGCGGAGCGCACGACCAGATTCGCCACAATTGCCCTCATCATTTCCATCTCGCCGTGCGCCGCCAGCATGCTGGGAGTGAAAAGGTACCGAGGTGACGAAACGAATGCAGGGGTGGCATGAGTTCCACCGCATCCTCAGTGAGATGAAGAACGTTTCCAACAGTCGTATCTTGCGTCGAGGCCAGTTCGGCTACGTTGTCAGAGATGAAGCATGCGACCGAGGAGCAAGACAACAGATGCGAGGCCATGGAGAGGCGGATGCAGGAGACTAACCTGAGTAGCCAGGCCGACGTTTGGAAGCGTGTCGACGCAGCGATTCAGGCCAAGTGGGAGGGATCGACTGTTTTTTCGTCGGGGGCCCGCTCGATCAGCGCCGCCAGGAACCAACGTCTTTCAACGAAGTCTGCAAGAAATGTTTCTGAGGTGTTGATGGGTGGGATCATGAGACCCACGTTCAACGCCGCCATGGTGGAGCACGCCCAGGCAGTTCTCGCGTCGAGACCCCAGGCCGTTGCTGCGGCAGCCACCTCCACTTATCACGCTGTAAACTAGAGCTGCTCAATCAAGATACAAAGCGACACTTGTGCTTTAGATTTCTGGAGCTCGCCAGGGCCAGAGGTTTGCACTGCGACGAACCAGTATTCCCAAAAAACGTTTGCGTCTTCGGTGTCGCCTCGACGCCCCCCCCCACCGCGAGGGGAAAAGAATGCGCTGCTTGACAGTTTTTGCAGCAGGTCTTGGACCGCATGATGCGCGTGCAGATCTGGGACCCCGCAAAGTACCAGCTCAGCTCCAACGAGTACAAAGGGTGCCTCTGCGCCGTCATTAAGGAAACCCCGGAGATCACGATACTCATTCGTATTGTGCGTACATAACGAGAGCTTCGACATGGATGCAGATACCGACGGTCTGAACGTGTATAAGGTCGCGCGAGCCCACGCTGAGGACACGATCGGAAGCCCAGGGGATGCAACCAATTTCCGTCCGTGGGCAGAGAGAGAGAGAGAGCAAGTGGGAGAGGGAGAGAGAGGGAGAGACCTTACAACATCGGACTCGTGCACCGGCGAATTCGGCGACGGTGGCGATGGCAATTCGAGGTAGTCTCGCAGCGGCACCCCACTTACACAGTGGGTAGTGGTCGTGGCAAAGCCAATTCTACCCCATCCCGTGATTTCGCAAGGCTGTTTCGGCGGCGACCCCGCGCTGCGTCGCGCCCCTATGCCTGCTCCTGCTCTTCCAGCTCGTCGCGCTCCAGTCGGTCCTCTTGCTCGACTCGTTCTGCCGACGATTCTTCGGCCCCCGCTGGGCCGGGCGAGCTGCCGCCACGCACGCGCTTCCGCCCACTGCGCTCGTCGCAACGTCAACGCAGCGACGCAGCACAGTCGCGCCTCCTTTGCGCCTGCCCGTGCCCCCTCCCTATCCTTTTACATAGCGATCCGAAACCATCCCAAACGCAGCATCGCGCGCGTTCCGGAGGCCCGCGGGCGGGGCGAGGACCGCCGGCATTCCTATCCAGAAGTGCGCGGGCTCCGAGCTGGGGGGGGGGGGGGGGCCTTCCGCGGCATCCATCGGGCCACGCGGGCGGCGTCGCCAGTCTCGCCCAGCGCCTTGATGTGTGCGAGACGGTTCCCACGTCGAGAATCCCAGGACTCGGCCTCTGGCCGTTGCCTGGAAGTGGCCTCCCCGGCCTCTGGAGCCCCTGGAGAGGCCCCGCAGACCTCGCACCCCGCCTCGACCTCTCGCCACCCCCCTCCACCACCGACAGAAGTCCACGCTGAGGCGGGCGCAGCCTCGTCTCCGACCCGCTGCTCGGGCCTCGCCCAGCGAGCTCGGCGACGTCAGCTTCCTCGCGGGCGGCGGGCCCCCGACGGCAGCGCGACGGCACGGCGAGTGCCCCCTCGCACGGCCTGTGGTCAGGCTCTCCGACGATGTGTTCGCAGTCTGGCTCTGGCTCAAGAGGGGCCCAGCCTTCTCCTGGCCCACCGAACCCTTGCCTGGCGAGGGCCCGAGGGCTCTTTCGGTGGGAGAGGCTGATCGGACCCACGCAAAGATATGTACCGAGCCTCTTTACATGACCCGACGCCCCATTCCCCGGCGTGGACCTCGGCAGCCCTGCAGACCGCGCGCCCGTTGCCCACGCGCTCTCCGCGTGTCGGAAGTCCGGCGGGGCCCGCCGGGGCCGCTCACGGGCCCCGCGGCCCCCCGAGCCGAGCGGGCGCGCCCAGGCCATGCCACTCGAGGCCAGACGTCTGCACCCCGCCCTGTCCTCCTCCTCCCCCTCCTCCTCCTCCTCCTCCTCCTCCTCCTCCTCCTCCTCCTCCTCCTCCTCTCCTCCTCCTCCTCCTCCTCCTCCCCCTCCTCATCCTCCTCCTCCCCCTCCTCCTCCCCCTCCTCCTCCTCCTCCTCCTCCTCCTCCTCCCCCTCCTCCTACTACTCCTACTCCTACTCCTACTCCTCCTGCTCATGCTCCTCCTCGACCTCCCCCTCCTCTCGCCCTTGCCGGATGCAAAGACCAGCTCCGCGGCGCAGCTGCGAGGGCCCCATCGGGCGGCGCGAGGGCCGCCGGGCCAGCACCGCCTCGGGGGGGCCACCGCGGGCCCTTGCTGCCACGCGCGCCGCGGGAGCTGTCGACGGGTGCCTCCTTCGGCGCGCGCTCAATGCGCACCCCGAGCACGGTGCGATCGACTTCGCCGAGGGAGTCCGGGCCCACCAAGTTGGCCTCCGCCGACTCCTGGGCCCCCGTTCCCCGCAGAACATCCGCCACCAGCTTGGCCGGGTCAGAAGTAGCAGTGACCCCCCCAAAAGAAAGGAAAGCAGAGATTCAACACCTTTGGTGTGCCGACATCTCTTGGTGTGCGTTGCCTTCAGTTGATTCCAGTCGTCCGCGTCTGTGGGTGCCCACGAGCGGACGAGCATGTGGAGGAGCAGGTCGAGACCCTCTTCGGGCTGCCTCGGGACACCCTGGCACGGTCCGATCCCAGGCCCAGTCGTGCTGATCTTGCGTGGACCCAGCACCGGGCCAGACCAGACACCCCGCTCGCTCCCCTTCCATCTCCACACATCGTCAACGTGTTTCTTCAGTTCGTGCCCCCAGAGGTCTCGACCCCTTCCTGGGAGATGTTCATCTCAGATGTAGGTTTGATGGCTCTGGGGCCCACCAACGGGCCCCACGTTCGATGGTTCGAGGGCCCCCCAACGGGCCACGGAGGTCGAGGTCGAGGAAGAGCGCCCGGATTGAACAACATGACGAAGAACCCAACCCATTCTACTCAGGAGGGGGGGAAAAAAAAACAGACACAATTAATCGTCGATCCCCAGGAAGGAAGTGGGGGGGAAGGCAAACACCCAGAACATATAGGAAACTATGGGGGATCTGTTTATTTGTGTGTATTTATTTGCGTGTCCTGGGGCCCCTTCATCTACACGCGTGCAAACTACCAGCAGGATCGCTCAATGCACAAGAACTCGTCAGAGGGTTCCGCAGTGACCCTGAAAACTCCGCCGGAGAACGTCGGACCAAGCTCGGCACGTATGGTACGCACTCACGGCGGCATTCGGTGGAGTTCCCTTTGGGGCTCACGAAACGTTTGAGGGTTGTGCCGAAAAGGACCCGAGTAACCGAGTACCCCCAATAATAATACATACCCCCCCTTTCCCCCTTGTATCTTTTTGGTCCCGTGTCAATAGGATTTAATTCTTGAGAGGGGCGCGGAGGCCGAGTTTGATCATCACCGGGGGAAGTTGCGAATCGAGTTGCTATCATCTTAAGTTGACTAGCAACAGCATCAAAAGCGCTGAGCATGGCAAATGGTGGTCTCACCGTTTCAGCTTCCGCAATCACGAGCGTGTGGCAGGGCTGTGGGATTCTCACGAACGTGCAGCAAAGGCCATGGGATTCTCACTTTCTCAGCCGTTCCCGAGTCAGGAACGTGTGGCAGGGCCATGGGGACCGATTGGGTTTGAAGTTACATTCGTTTTTCGAACCCGAGTACGCATGCGGGCCCTGCAACTGAGGCCTTCGGTGGAGCTCCCTATGAGGGCACTAGACGTGGCAGGTGTGTACCAAATGATGATGCGGATGATGATGCTGATGATACTGATGCTGATGCTGATGGTGATGATAATGACAACGGTCATGACCATGGTCATGCTCATAGTGATGATGAGCATGATGATGATGATGATGATGATGATGATGATGATGATGATGATGCTGAAGGCTACGACGATGAGATGACGATGACGATGACGGTGGGGCCACGAAACGTGGTGTGGCAAAATGGACCCGAGTAACCATGCGGGTCTTCCCTGCCATTGAGGCTGTCGGCGGAGCTCCCTATGGGGTCACGAAACGTGTGAGGGGTGTGCAATCATGGACCCGAATACGCATGCGGGCCCTGCAACTGAGGCCTTCGGCGGGGCTCCCTATGAGGGCACTAGACGTGTGAGGGGTGTACCAACAGGGGTGAGGTGATGATGATGATGATAATGATAATGTTGATGGTGGTGGTGGTGGTGATGATGGTGGTGGTGGTGCTGATGGTGATGATGATGATGACGCGGATGATAATGATGATGTTGATGACGATGACGATGACGATGTCGATGATGATCCGTGGCATTCTGAGACGGTCAGGAGCCCAAGCTCGAAAGCCGCCCGAACCCGAACGGTTCATTCGGCGCCTCGCCCGCAGCGTCAGGCCTGTCCCTCCCAATCGGCACTTGCGCGGACCTGCCGGGCTCCAGCCTGACGCCGCTGCCACACCAGCGGCGGCCACTCGCCGCCGCGGAAGAGATGCCACACGCTCGAGCACGGCAGCGGCAGTGGCAAGCTCGTCGCAGGCATCCGTGATCCTCGAACCCGCGAGGCGCCACGAGCAGGCTAGGCGCCGTCCCGCAGCCCCCGTCGGACCCATGGGTCCCGAGCCGCGGCTGGCGCCAGCAGCTGCACTTCAACATCCCCAGCAGGCGTTGCACAGAGTATGCTCGCCAGGAGCATTCACACACAAAAAGCTAGCAGGTTGAGCCTCCACCGACGGTTCCACTGCGTACAGGGGGCGCGCTGGCCGCCGCAGAGGTTTCCAAATTGGGCCCCTCGCCAGAGACAGGCACAGCGCGCGCCAGAGGCATGCACAGGCAGGCACAGAACGATGTTGCTGCTGATGATGGTGATGATTATGATGGTGATGATGATGATGATGATGAGGATGAGGATGAGGATGAGGATAGTGACGATGATGGTGATTGTGATGGCGATGGCGATGGTGATGGTAATGGTGATGACAATGGTGATGGTGATGGTGATGGTGATGGTTATGATGATGATGGTAATGATGATGATGATGATGATGATGATGATGATGATGATGATGGTGGTGATGATGATGATGATGATGATGATGATGATGGTGGTGGTGGTGGTGGTGATGATGGTGATGATGATGTTGATGATGATGATGGTGGTGGTGGTGATGATGATGGTGATGGTGATGATGATGTTGATGGTGATGATGATGATGATGATGATGATGATGATGATGGTGGTGGTGGTGGTGGTGGTGGTGGTGGTGGTGGTGGCGGTGGTGGTGGTGATGATGATGAGGATGATGGTGATGGTGATGATGATGGTGATGGTGATGAGGAGGAGGAGGAGGAGGAGGAGGATGGTGATGATGATGATGGTGGCGAGAAGGATGAGGAGGAGGAGGAAAGGAGGGGGGAGGAAAAGGCGAAGGATAAGGAGGCGGTGTGCGGCGCTGCGAATTCAAAAGGAGGACCCAACACACACGAGGGTTGGGAAAAAAAATGATCGTTTGATATCTGGATCTCTGGTTCCTGCTCCGCTTCGTCAACTGGCGCCAAGTTGGCCCGTGGAGCCCCCGAAGCACCCTAAGACACACACACACACACACACACGCACACAAAACAAACAACAAACAAAGAAAGAACGCATGCTTTGGCGCCGCGGCCTCGCGCGCAGCGACGAGGCGTAAAAAGTCCAGCAGAGAGAGAGAGAGAGAGAGAGAGACAGAGAACCCGCGCGGTCAGCACCTCAGCAGATGGGGCCGGGTTCCAGCCATCGATCCACCGTTCCAGCCGCATACCCAGGCATGGGCAGCGAGGGGGGGGAAAGGAGGAGGAGGAGGAGGAGGAGAAGCAGGGGGTGGGTGGACGAGGATACGAAAGTACGAGCACAGCGATGGCCGACAAGTGGTGGCGCAGTGCAGCCCGAACGGACGTGGACGAGGAATAAGGCAGCTAAGAGGCAAGGCGGCAAAGGGCCAGTGGTAAGGTGGTGTAGGAGGCCAGCGCATGCAGGCAGTGAGTGAGGAGAGCAAGCAGGCCAGCAGTACACAGCCTTGGAAGCACCCAGGAGGAGCCCTGCAGGCTTTTAAAAGAGGCTCCAAAGCATGCGCCTCATACTCCATTTTCACCGAGCAGAGTGTCGAGTCAGATCTCGATACCTAGACGGCATCTGCACGCTAGATCCCCGACGTCGTGGTTTTCCCCAACCATCCTGTGGAGTTGGGGCCTCGTTTTGAAGCGACAACGACCCACGTCCCACCTCACCTTCCTCCTCCTCCCGCTCTTCCCTCCTCCCACCCCTGCTTCTGCCCTCGCCGGGCTAATTGAAGAACTTAACGTGGACCCCCAAAGGTCTGGACCCCTTCCCGTGAGCGCCGCCAGAACATGACCACATCCACGGCCGCTGGGTCGTGTTCCGAGGACTCGTGGAGCGGGGGATATGAATATCTGCCCGCCGACTCGGGCGGGCCGGTATCCATATTCACCGCTCGTCGAGATCTCAGGGCACGACTCCGAAGCGGTGGATGTGGACAGATTCTGGCGATGGACCATGGGGCCGGTCGTTCATCCCGAGTCCTCATCCTCGCCCTCGCCTTCGTCGTCCTCCTCCTATTCCTCCTCCTCCTCTTCCTGCCCCTTCCGTTCTCTAGGATCAGCGTTAGCACAAGCAAAGGGGAAGCAAGGAGGAGGGGAGGGCTCTGGAGAACACAACGCCACAAAAACAAGACGGGGAATCGATATCTCGATGTCTCGGTATCGGGGGCGGGGACTCGTTCGTCATCGTCGTCATCACCTTTGCCATAATCATCATCCTGATGGTCCTCATGCTCCTCATCGTCATCACCATCACCATCTCCATACTCGACACAAGCATCATCATCACGACACAAGCATCATCATCATCATCATCATCATCATCATCATCATCATCATCATCATCATCATCATCATCATCAAAAACATAAGCATCATCATTACCGTCTTCATGCCCATCATCATCATCGCCAACACCAACATCATCTGATAGAATTCTGGCAGCAGTCTGAACGAAGGCGTAGCGAAGGCGAGAACACAAGCGAAGCGAAGGCGAGAAAACAAGCGAAACGAAGGCGAAACGAAGGCGAGAAAGCAAGCGAAACGAAGGCGATAGGAAACAAGCGAAACGAATGCGAGAAAACAAGCGGACCGAAGGCGAGAAAATAAGCGAAGCGAAGGCGAACCGAAGGCGAGAAAGCAAGCGAAACGAAGGCGAGAACACAAGCGAAACGAAAGCGAAACGAAGGCGAAACGAAGGCGAGAAAACAAGCGAAACGAAGGTGAGAGAACAAGCGAAATGAAAGCGAAACGAAGGCGAGAAAACAAGCGACACAAAGGCGAGAAAACAAGCGAAACGAAGGCGAAACGAAGGCGAGATAACAAGCGAAACGAATGCGAGAAAACAAGCCGAGGACGAGTTCGCGGCTTTCTCTAGAACTTCTACATGTTCCTTCAAGACACGGCTGGCCCAAATTCAGCAAATGAGAAAGTTCCGTCTGCACGCCCTGCGCCGCGGACGGGCCCCGCTCGAGCGGGCCCCACCGGGCCCATGCGTGCCCGCAGGCCGTGCATAAGGAAATTCTGGTCCTGTGAAATGCGGCGATGCGGTCCTGGGATTGGAGGGGGCCGATATCGAGGTATCGAGATATCGAGTCCTCGCCCCCGATATCGAGATATCGAGATATCGAGTCTCCGCCTGGCCCCGCCCCCGATATCGAAATATCGAGGTATCGAGATGTCGAGTCCCCGCCCCCCGATATCGAGATGTCTAGATATCGAGATATCGAGTCCCCGCCCCCGATATCGAGATATCGAGATATCAAGTCCCCGCCCCCGATATCGAGATATCGAGTCCTCCCGACCCCCACCGGGACGCCCTGCGACCACAACGAGTTTTTCAGAAGCCCTCGCGCCTTCTGAGAAGCTCTTCTTGCCTTCGGGGAAGGCTCAGAAAACTTCTCTGAAGGCCAGGGGACTTCCGGGCCTTCTGAGAAGGCTCTCTCCCAGAGCTTGAATTACCTACCCCGCTTTCGCTTCCAGGCAAAACCAAGTCATACCACGCGCCCCCCCGTCGAGCGGCCTGACCAGCGCGGGCCATAGTTGGGCATCGCTTGGTAGCTCTTGGAAGCGAGGGTGGTCAAAAGCGAGGTAAGTTCGTTCGCCCCCTACTCTCGTTTTCGTTTCCCCACCTCGCTCGCCGTCAACTCCTCCCTCCCCGGAGGCGGAGCGGCGGGTCGGCAGCGAGCGGCCTCCCGCGGCCGCCCCCCCGCGCCGCCGCCGCCGCCGCCGCCGCAGGACCTGTGGCTGCGCCGGCCCGAGGACGCAGGCCCGGCGCGGCCCCGGGCCTCGCGGCGCTCAGCCGAGAGAGGGGTGATGACCAGGGTTAAGTCGGGCCTGTCCCCCTACAGGGGGATTTTCGTCGAAAAATAAAAGATACCCCCAGAATAGTCCAAAAATAGTCGGGGGACTATTTTTTGACTATTTCTTGACCTTTTGGAGGTATTTGGGGGGTATTTATTTTTTTTCGTCGAAAATCCCTCTGTAGGGGGACAGGCCCGACGTAAGACTAGAGGGGGGTGGATCTCATGGCGTGGGCGACCGGTGGTCGCCGATCGTCAGCAAGGGCCCGGCACGGGGCCGGGGGGCGGGCGGCGGGTGTCGGTCCCAGCACCCTGTTTTGTCTCGACCCGCTCCCCGGGATTTTCGTCCCGAATTGTTTTTGGCGGCGGCCCACGGGGCCCGGACAGGGCCCCCGGAGCCCGGAACAAAAACCTAACTAGCTTTCCGCCGTGAACATGTCACGACGCGAGAGGTTCGGTTCTGATATAAATCAGTTTTCCTCGCTCGTGCCGTACCTTGCTGGCCCCATCCCGATGCCTTTCACTTGGCCTTCGGCGCGTGACGGTATCCACGTTTTGGCCCAGCTGTGGAAGCACGGTGTCCGCTCCCAACAACAAGCATGATGCGAGGGGGTTTGGTCCTCTGCTCTCTGGAGCCCAGTCTGTCTGCTGCAGTCTTCGAGCCAGACCGGCCTGTGATGGCCCCCGGGGCCCGACACCGGGCGGAAAAACGCCAGGAACTGGAAAAAACGCAACGCACTGATCTCGGGGGCGTCGTCAGGGCCCGGGAGAGTTCGTCGTCGACGTCGGCGTTTGCGTCGTACGTAGTCGGCGTCGGCGTCCCTTCCCCTCCACCTCCCCCTCCTCCTCCTCCTCGTCCTCCTCCTCCTCCTCATCCTCATCCTCATCCCTCCCTCCCTCCCTCCCTCCCTCCCTCCCTCGCTCCCATCTCCTCATGTGGGCGGCGGGCGTCGGTCAGGGCTTCCTCTCCGGCGCACTCCGCCGGCGAGGCACCGACGAGTACCGCGCCACCATCCGGGCGGCACGGCGCGTCGTGCACTGAGCGTGCCGCGGCCAGCCTTTTGGTCGCTGGGTGCACTGAGCGTGCCGCGTGAGCGTCGTGACCCCCGGGTGCTTTTGGTCGCTGGATCAGCCTTGGGAAGCTCCTCCACAGCTTCCTCGATACGCCTCCTGCTCCTTCTCCTCCTCCTCCTCCTTCCCTCCTCCTCCTCCCCCTCCCCCTCCCCTTCCCCCTCCTCCTCCTCCTCCTCCTCCTCCTCCTCCTCCTCTTCCTCCTCCTCATCATCATCAGCAGCAACATCATCATCCTTCTCCCCCCTCCTGATGTTTTTGGTCGGTGGTTCCCCCCAGTCACAGGATGCTTTTGGGAAGGGGTCCTGCAGAAAAAGCCAAAAAATGGGGCCCTGATGGGACGGAGACCTGAGGACGAGGTGCCCCAAGCACTGCAAGTCCACCTCGGCTCCATCAGGAGGAGGAGGAGGAGGAGGAGGAGGAGGAGGAGGAGGAGAGGAGGGTCGACATGGAGGATGAGGAAGACTGCAGAGGAGGAGGAGGAGGAGGAGGAGGAGGAGGAGGGGAGGAGGGGCGAGATGAAGGATGAGGAAGATTGCAGGACGCCGACGCGCTGGAGTGGTTCCACCCCTCCGACTTCTATCTGCGCCGTCCCCTTGCGGCGGTGTCTCTGGAGCGCCCCGCCCCTCGGGGCCCCGCCCCGGGACCACCGCTCTGGCGGGCCTCTCCGCCGCGCTCGCTCCCACCGGGGGGGGGCCCTGCCTCTCAGAGGAGGGCCGGCCGAGACCACGGCAGCTGGCCCTCGGGGGGGGCGCCCCCGGCGTCGCCACGGCCGGACGCGGCTCGGCACGCCAGTGCGCCTTGGACCCTCGGAGCCCAGCAATCGGATCAATACATCAATTACATAACATAGGAGCCGACATAATTGCGTACGATCTTGAAGGTATGGAAAATGCAGACCTTTATCTTGATCATTTACATTGTGCAAATAGCATGTATGAAGCATTTGAAAATGTTGATGCAGTTACTCGAGGGCGGGCCGCTGGCCCGGCCCAGGGCGCCTTGGGCCGGCCTCCGCCGCGCCCGCTGCTCTCCCTCGGGGGCAGCAAAGAGGGGAGTGATGACCAGGGGGGGGGGGGGTATCATGGCGGGGGCCATGGTATTTCCCCAGGTTTCATGGCGCCTCTTCTTGCTTCGTCACGTCCCTGGCCCCCCCGCTGGGCCGCGCACATGCCGCCGGTCATGATCTGCACCCCCCCCTCTTGGACACCCCCGTCTTGGCCGCTCCCGACTCCTGAGCGGCCCTGACCCCAGCCCCTCGCGCCCCGAGAAGTCACGGCGGGAGGTTCTCGCAACAGTCCTCGGCCTCTGGGGGGCCTTTGCGGGGCACTGGGGCCGCGAAGATACGACTCTGGATGAAAAGCCGGTCCCAGGGAATAGGAGGAGGAGGAGGAGGAGGAGGAGATTCCCAGGGGTCGACGTGTCAGGTGTTTGAGGGGCCCTGAATGGGGATCCCCTATAACGTCGCGGTGTCCACACGTGTGGTGAGTCAGTGGGGATGTGGGGTGACCGCCCAGTTTGGGGACTCGGGCCTTTTTCCGAGGATGTCTCGGGCATCTGGGGATTGCGAGGTCACCACACGGTATGTCACCACACGGTTCTGGGAGCCCCAATTTGAGGGAAATTCGGATCTTTGACATGGTTTGTCATTTCTTGCGTGTTTCTTGCATGTGTGTTTCTTGGGCCCGTTATCGGCCCGTGGGACGCTTTAAAGTGAAGCCGGGGCGAAGGGTTACCTGTGGGGAAGTGTCGGGATTTCCAGGGACCCCGAAAAGAAGAAACACAATCATGAGATGTGTGTATGTATGTTGTGTTGTATTGTGTTGTGGTGGGGTGGGGTGGGGTGTGGCGTGGTGTGGTGTGGTGTGGTGTGTTGTGGTGTGGTGTGGTGTGGTGTTGTGTGGTGTGGTGTTGTGTGGTGTGGGGTGTTGTGCTGTGTTGTGTTGTGTTGTGTTGTGTTGTGTTGTGTTGTGTTGTGTTGTGTTGTGTTGTGGTGTGGTGTGGTGTGGTGTGGTGTGGTGTGGTGTTGTGTGGTGTGTTGTGTGTGAAGTGGTCCTGAGGCAAAGGCTTCCTGATATTTGTCTCGCCGTCTTCGGCCTCCTGGAGCCCTCCGTTGGCCAAGGGACTGAACAAAACGACTCAGGACAAGAAGCCAGCCCTGGGGAAAGGGGGGTTCGGGCCATGATGATGCAAGGACCCGTGCCCTTCCCCCCTCCCCTCTTCCTCCTCCTCCTCCTCCACCACCACCTCCTCCTTCTCATCCTCCTAATCCTCCTATCCCCCCCGCCCCCACCGCCCGATGGCCTTTCCTCAACCTCCGCCTCCTCCCTGCCCTTCTCCTCCCCCTGATGCTCCTCCTGTTTCTCCCCCACTTGCGCAAACCTCTTTTCCGTACGCGTTGCAAGTGTTTTTGTTTCTGCTTACTTTCCATCTCCTCCTCCTCGTCCTCGTCCTCATCCTTCCGCACTCCTCTTCCTCCTCTCCCTTCGCCTACCAACCCCTGGATAAGAAAGTCCGGATCGGCACTGCAGGCCCCTTTGCATCGTCATTATCAGATGGGACTGGGAGCTTCAACCCTCGATCGTTCCTGGACCTCCGATTCTGGACCATGGCCTCCGAGATGACCCCGCGACAGGCCCGATCGCCGAACAACGGAAAGGCACCGCAAGGCGCTAAGCATTGAAAGCAACAAGTTCTGTTTAGAATCGCCCACGCAGTGAGAGGTAAACATGACTTGCAGGAAGTCCCAAGCAGAAGCGCAACTTCCAGGCAACCTAAATGGGACCCGATTATGTGTGTGAGGAAGTCCTGAGCGGAATCGCCAAAATCCGGTGGCCTCTGAAAGTTTCTGGTCGTCTGAAAGGCGACCGGAAATTTGTGTTGCTGGTTATATTGGGCAGAATGCAAATTTCAGGTTGTCACCCCATTTGGCGATTATAATATTAAAGGGGATGAGGATGCACTGGAAATTTTGCCATGGCGGCCTCTGCAACATTCTACCGGGGCCCCGTGGCCTAACGGGAACCGATCATCAAAGTTTCTTCCCCGACCTCCCCGGTCCTTACTTTTTAATCCAGGGGGTCGTATTCACGTTCCTCGTCATGCTCCCTATCCTGCCCATCCTCATGCGTGTCCTCCCCCTACTCTTTTCTCTCATCAGTATCAGCATCATCATCAGCAGCAGCAGCAGCATTACCATAATCATCAGCATCAGCACCATAACCATAGTCATTACTCATCATTATCATCATCACCATCATCTGCAGCATTACCATAATCATAATCATCATCAGCATCATAACCATAGTCATTACTCCTCATTATCATCAGTATCATCATCATCATCATCATCATCATCATCATCATCATCATCATCATCATTATCATGATCGTCCTCGTGATCATAATCATCGTATTAAACGCCCGTCTGAATCATCATCAGCAGCATCATCCGAATCATCATCAGCATCATCAGCAACAACATCAGCATCATCATCATCATCAGCATCTGGATCGGCGTCAGCATCATCAGCAGCAGCATCGTCAGCGTCGTCATCAGCATCATTTAACTTCATCTCCATCGTCATCATCACCATCATCATCAGCAGAAACAGCTGCAGCAGCAGCATCATCCCTGCTCGTCTGCCTCCTTGTCTTCCTCACTCTCCTCGTCCTGGCCGGGAGCTGAGGGCCCAGCTCTTGGGGCTGGGGCTCCAGCCCCCGCTCGGGCGAAACAACCTTTTTCATGCATGTGCACAGTCGTCAGCAGCAGGAGGGCGCTCGCCAGGGACGCCTGCAATCCCGAAAGCCGACGCTGCAGAAAGGTTTCGCGCGCGCGAGGAAAGTGGCACGTCCCAACACGAGTGCTGGACAGAAGCCCGCAGAACCGCGTGAGCATCGAGACTGCATAGGCCGTTCCGAGCAGCATCGCGCTGCGCCAAAAGAACCACGGGGTGCTGCGGCGAAGCTCGGCGCCACGAGCCGAGACGGAACTATGCGACGCAGAGCGAGCCGAGGTTGGGCAGGGTCGAGGCTGTCATCCTCCTCCTCCTACTACTACTACTACCACTACTACTACTACTACTACTACTACTACTACTACTACTACTACTACTACTACTACTACTACTACTACTACTATTACTATTACTACTACTACTACGACTACGACTACGACTACGACTACGACTACGACTACTACGACTACGACGACTACTACTACTACTACTACTACTACTACTACTACTACTACTACTACTACTACTACTACTACTACTACTACTACTACTACTACTACTACTATTACTACTACTACTACTACTACTACTACTACTACTACTACTACTACTACTACTGCTACTACCTACTACCTACTACCTACTACCTACTACCTACTACCTACTACGTACTACCTACTACCTACTACCTACTACATGCTACATGCTACTCCTACTCCTACTCTACCTCCTCTTCATCTTCCTCCTCCTCCTACTCCACCTCCTCCTACTCCTCCTCCTCCTCATCCTCCTCCTACTCCTCCACCTCCTTCTCCTCTCCTACTCCACCTCATCCTACTCCTACTACTCCTACTCCTACTCCACCTCTTCCTCCTCCTCCTCCTCCTCCTCCTCCTCCTCTCGCTGAGCGAACGGTGGGCACCGGCGCAGCGACGGGGAGAACGGGTCGGTCGAGTCACCGCCGCTGCCGCCGCACGCTCGGCGCGCCCAGGCTGCATGGCCAGGGCTCGGTTCGGTGCCTCCGCTTCGCTTCGAGTCGGCGTCGGTGGCGTCCGACTCCGAGTCGATGTGGTTTCAGCTTCGGGTGTGGATCCGGATGTCACAACTCAGAGCGTGAATTACCTACCCCGCTTTCGCTTCCAGGGAAAACCAAGTCATACCACGCGCCTCCTCGTCAAGCGGCCTGACCAGTACAGGCCGTAGTTTGGCATCGCTTGGTATCTCTTGGAAGCGA